TGCCATGGGAAAAACCCAAATTATACCAATAATTCAGGTATGCACATTCTTTATGGATACCATAATTTGATTATACTATATAAAAAAAAAACAGCTTCAAATCACAAGTCCACTTGGTTTAGTATAAAGAACTAATTTAAAGGATTTATTCCAATTCAGGAATGGTGCACATACCCCTTAAATACTGTCAACTATTAAGGTTTTTTCTTAAAAATATGCTCTTCCCATGAATAAGAAATTATTCAGGAAACATCATCATTTGGGCTACATTTAACCAGGCAAATCCGTTTTTATAAACCCTCTCCTCTTCCTCATACTTAAATAGTTCAAGAGTAATGCAATTAAGAAATAAACAGTATCTGTTCAAAAAGTAAATACATACTGGTCTAAAACAATTATTTAAAAAAGGAATTAGATGCCTTTTCTTCACTAATAATAAATATTCCTATTCCTTCTGAGACCGAATTCCACGTCATTTCACTCTCTGCTTTTCTGTCTTGGTTATCGGCCACCACTCTCTACCTCTCCCCACGCTGCCCAACTTCTGCTGTCTTAGGAAAGAAAAGTCAAGATCTTTTTATACTTCCCTATCAACCATTCCTCAGTAAATAGACTGATTTTGGTTTCTTTACCATCTGATTGTTGGGGGTGCTCTTTGTTACTAGAACACTAAAGTGCATGACTACTTCTAATCTCTTCTGGTGCACAAAAGGACTGTTAGCAAGTACCAGATCCATAAATCCAGTGTCACGTTTTACTATTTCCAAATTAGTGCTATCAGAATTCTCCAAGAACAGATTACTATTACCCTTATTCTCCGGAAACAGAAAATACATATACCACAGTATCAGTACCATAAAAAAATGACATCTCATAAAAGCAATTTAGTTCAAGATACCCTACTTCCCCTACAAGGAAGAAACAGTGTTACTAACATAGAGTGTGTCTTACCCACACTTACCCACTCTAGAAGCCCTTGTGTTTACTAAGGGTTATCCAATGTTCAGCCTATAGAATTAGTTCATACATGATTTTGAACAATATATAGGTCACTGCTAATTTAAAAAAAGGTACCATACTGCCTACTGATACACTTTTGAAACATTAATCTTCCTGAAAATCTATGGTAATTTCCTTTACTTAGAGCCATGGTTATGACTAAAGCATATTTTGGTAATCAGCATGGTAGTCTGATGAATCCATCAATTATCAGTTTTTATACTAAATAATAATGTCACTCATACACAGGATTTCACACTTTGATTACAAAATCCTTGGTAAGAGTACCTAAGATAATATGTAGTGTTTGATTTAAAGGTCAACTGTAAAGCTGGATGGGCAAAGTTACCTCCATAATTCAATATCGATAAAGAAACATAAGCTCATAACACATAAAGATTCAACTAAGGAGTTTTCATTTGTAAAGACTAAATGCAGTGAGACTTTTAGAGCTCTCATAAGTACCTACAGATTTTACAATAAAGGTAAGAGTGACAGTTCTGTCTCTTTATATACATTTACATAATCTCACTTAACTATCAAGTTAAAAAAGCCTACACAGTATGTATGTAATATCTGAGATACAAATATAACTGTACAAAAAATTTGTGTATTTATAGCACATACCAGGATACACCACTTAAAATTCACAATTTATAATACATCATCAGTAGACATTAGCAAACTATACAAATAAAACCATTAATAAGATATAAAGACATCTGCCACTAAGGGATCCTTACAATCAGGTTTCCAACAATCTTTTGGTTGTAGCTGACAGTTCACAATTGCAGCCATTCATAACAGTTCCTGGAATGTGGCCTACAAGAGTTCACACTGGTCAGCTATCTGTGGAAAACGATCTGTACTGTGTTCCCTTTCCAAAAGTGCCAGTAATATTTTGCACCTCTCCCCATTTATCAAAAAGGGGTCTGTTAAGTGTGTTGGTAATTTAAACAAATTTTGTAACTTTCACCATAAAAGTGGCTTTTTGTGCACTGTATTTTCAACCATTATTATATTCTCCAGTTTACACAAAATCAGTTTGAGAGAATCAACACCTGACTATAAGTCTTTCCAACGAGAAAGGCTAGAATATTTAACTTTACGGCAATTAGTAATATAGAGTCAACAGGCAGTGTTAACTGAACTTTAAAACATTTCCTTGCTTTCTATATATAACCGTCAGCCCTTCTAAAGGTACATTATTAAAATGTATTAATATGTAAGTCCTCTTTTTTAAAAATAAAGAAGTCTCAAAATGAAGCTTTGTAAAAGGTAATGGAGCCGAAAACACCACGAGATAGAGTTTTCAGTTTATCAGACTAAAGAACCTCAATCATTTTTAATCTTCCATTTCCCTTCCTTTTTTCAAAGAACGAGACTATGTTTACTAACATATTAACTTTAAAAAAAAAAGCGAACTGTTTATAAAATTTTCGGATCTGAAATTTGTCAAGCTATTCACAAAGTTAAAGTCATAATTACTCAAAACCTCTCACTCCAATGTTTGCATCTAAATGGCTGCAACTAAAATTGTATGCAGATTTTAATTTAAGAAGGCAACCCCAAATCACCGTATTAAAATTATGATTTTTGTTGGTATGGTTTCCTCAAAAATAGTTATCTCAGTAATTTAAACATATGCCTAGAAAAACTGTGTTATTTAATTTCAAGCATACAGTTTAAAATGCCCTCTTTCCCAAAGACTTTCCATTAAAAACAAAAACAAAACCAAAAACTATTTCTACTTAATGGATTTATTCCTTCACCAGGTGTGTTGGTCCAGTGACAAAATAGTCAAATGTGTAAGATTACATCTTGAAAACTAGCATGTTAAATTAAAAACCAGTCAAAGATTATAACAAAAATTAGAAATGCAACATTGGTAAGCAATGCAGATTTTAAAAGACTGGGTGGGGGAGGGAAATACCATATTTAAGATAAGACTGCACACACATCAAAACCCCTGCACTGGATTAACTATAGCCAATTGGTAAGAACAGATACAGTAGTAGCTGTAGCTCATTCACCTTCCGAAATAAAATCTTAAAATTATTAACATTTTTAATAAAGTAAGAGGATAGATAATTGCATCTTTGAGGTCATACCTAAAGAATACATTCCAGAGTTTCCATTTGTCAACAGATCTCTCTGCTTCATGCCACATCATCATATTAAAATCTGGGGAATGTAACTGCATATGCTTTAAACAGAGAGGCATGAAGAGGAGAGAAAAATACAATCTTCATTCATAGATGCGCATGTGTTTTACAAGGAGGGGGGTGTGGTTTGGGAAACCACTCATCATTTCTTGAGATATGGAGGCAATGTACTTCAGGAACAGAGGCAAGCAAATGGTTATTTACGAACCCATCAGAAAAAAAACTGGCTTCTGGCAGCTAGAAAAGGGTGAACAAATAAACTCAATCTGCATTTTAGGTGTGTCCCTATGTGTGAAAAGTGAAATATGGGAGCAGATGTAAAGAGGGACTTTTCTGAATGGCTTGTGGAATCAGTTTCTTTACTTGGTAGTTCCATCCATATAAAATTTCTCAATGACTAGCTAGCTGAGCTCACTTATGGACACGTGGTATTCTCTAAGAGTTCTCAAATGGAAGAAAGACTCCCAACAAGCAAGTCACCTACAAAAAAAGATGAACTTTGAATTACAAAAAGCAGAGAAGATGATTTCATGAGTATTTTTCAAACCAACATAAGTGTGTAACAAAAATACAAGGCTAGTTGAAACTGAAAAGTTAAGAAAAGAATGCAAAGGAACTCAGAAGAAACAGAAGAAAAAGCTTTAACAGATCTCATTGTGCGATATACCAATTACTCTAGAAATCCATAAAGATATCTTTAAACACATCTAAAATCAACCTTGCTCAAAATAAAAAAACCCAACAAATAAATGCCTAACTGTAAAGTACCTGAAACCTTCTCTGTAATTTTTAAATGCAATTCTAAAGCTTGTAACAAGTCAGTTTTTAAAAATTTGCAATATATGTCATATTTTCCTGTGATATTTCCTGAAAATCACTTAAAATCCTCACTGAATTATAACCGAACTTCAACTGTTGTAGAATTGGTATGGCAATACACCAATTTTCACTTAAGCCATTAAAAAAAGCATCCCTTAAGTAAAGAGGGAGCCAATTGGTGACAACTGTTAACACTTTTACTATAAAATTACTCTAATTTCAAGAACTGTAGCTTTTACTACTGTCAAAGAGTCTCATTTCATACTTTCCATTCTGTAGTTAAAAAAAAAAAACAACTGATGGAAGATAACATCTTTCCAATACACTTTTTACTTAAAAAAAAAAAAAAAAAAAGAAAAAGAAAAAGAAAAAAGAAAAAAGAATCTTAACAAAGTCACCGGGAAGCCTCCTGACCTTCTACGTTCTTGTATTTAAAAGGCTGGAGGACGATAGGATCTTCAAAGCCAGACTTGACATTTCACCATTCTCTCTCCAGCCTTTGCAGATACACTGGAGGAGATTCCTTACTTACATGGATCTTTCCCTACTAGAGGACCTCCAGTTTTCCAGAATGGGAAACTTCTAACTTTATGTCTTAGTCTCCAAACTCACACTGACAAAGTGTTCAAGTGTAACTGTTACCTAAGAAAAGGACAGTCCTATGGGGGCATAATCTACTAGTTGCCACCTGTAAATGAGAGAATTAAGCTTAAATCCACCTTTCTGAATGAACAAATGTTGTGTCCTTATCCAGTTGTGCTTTTAAATGAATGTGACAAGACCAATTCTCTCATTACACCTTCACATTAGCAATCTAAAATTATGCCTTTTCAAGAACTGTCAAATCAACCTTACTAACACAAACTAATTTTTATACTTAAAAACGCTAAGGGACTCAAAGTTAACAACAACAACAACAACAAAAACAACAAAAAAAAAACTTTTCTTAAGTTGCATTCTAAACTAAAATGTTTGGTCAAGCATTCCTATCAAATATTTTAAGTAAGATTTCCATACCTGTCTTCATCACCATCAACAGGAATAGCTATGCTGAATACAGAGGTGGCCAGACTGTTCATAGGTGTTAACTGAAGGGGGTTTGCCAGGGCATCTGCAACAGGAGGCTTCACAACAGGCTTATTTTCAGCAATGAGAGAAAGTGGTGGTTGAGGTAGGGGTTCTGATTTTCTTCTAGTATCGTCAACTTGCCCGACTGAAGGTTGGGTCTGAGTCTGAAACTGGCTTAGGTCAGACTGTGGTAGACTTGTTGGTGCACTGGGTGTGCCTTGCGCTAAGGGCAGCCCAACATGTTGGATTATGCTGCTGCTCCTGCTGACTGGCGTATGGCTGCTCAGCTGCTGCGGCTGGACCAGAGGCGCGGGTACATTTGGCATAGTAACAGAGGTGGTAGACAAACTAGGCACGCTTGGAGCGGGCACGGCTGCAGGCACGTTTGGAACTCCGGGCAGCACGGCGTGGGGGCCGCCAGGCACGACTGACGGCGCACCACTGCCACCCATCTGCGGCGGAGGCACGGACTGGGGCTGCCCGGTCCCAGGGGGAACCAGGCCCGGCGGCACGGCGCATCCCACGGCAGCCATGGGCACTCCGGCCGGCTGACCAGGCGCGGCCTGTCCGCCTGGTGCGGGTCCCGGCCCCGGGGCCACAGCTTCACTGGGCAAGGAAGACACGCCCATTATCTGCGCCCCCACCGAGGCGGCATTCTGGCTGGTGCCCACTGGAAGGCTGGCAGCCGTGGCAAGGCTCGCTCCGGCGCCGGTGGACGAGGGCTGCGCGGGGCTAGGTGGCTGCAGGCCGGCCACGTGCTGCGGTAGGTACTCACTCTGACCCGCGGGCTGGACTGGCAGCAAGTGTCCGGGCGGTAGCTGAGGCTGGGGGTACGCGAACGGCTGGGGCTGCTGCGTCGCAGTAGCGCTGACGGCCGGGCCTGGCTGCTGCGGCAGGGCCACTCCGGGCTGCGTCAGGGTTACATTCGTCAGCGGCAGCCCCGGTCCGTTGGGCCCCTGCGGGAGGACGCAGGGGCCGGTTCCCTGGGGCTGGCTCGGCTGCGGGGCTGCCATCATTTGCTGTGGCCCGGCCGCGGCTCCCGGGAACGGCGGCACTGGAGCCGCGCTTTGAACCACAGCCCCACCTACGGGCGGCGGTGGCTGTGGCTGTGGCTGCCCAACGCCAAAACTCTGCGGCTGGGCCGGGGCGAGCTGGCTCATTTTCTCCGACGGGGGTAGCTGTGACACAGCAGTCAAGGAACTGTCAGTTCCCGAGTCGGGCCCATGCGCCCCCTGCATGGAGGCCACCACCACCACCACCGACCCTCCGGTGGCGCCCAGGCCGCTGTCCCGTTCCGCAGTCTGGTCAAAAGTATTGCTGTGCCTAATGCAATCCCCGGACCTGGTCAGGACGCTGCTGTCTGAATCCCGCTCATAGTATTCCATACACGTCCATCGGCCGCGGCGGTAGGGCTCCCCGCTCCCGTGGTCCAGCTTGATCACGCGAAAACGGGAACTACAAGTGGTGGGGGGCTGTGATGCGGCTGCGGTCCCGGGCCCGGCAGACGAGCCCGCGACCGGCGGGGCGCCAGGTGCCCCGGAGGAGGGGGCCGAGGTGGCGGCCGCCACCAGGGTACTGGCCAGCGCCCCAGCCACGCTCCGGGCCGAAACGGCTCCTCCTCCGTTGGCGGGAGCAGCCGCCGCGGCCGCCAGCTGCCCGTCCAGGAGGAGGTTTGGGGAGACGGTCCCGGGAGTCTCGGCATCCCCAACATTGTTGAGCGTCTCTTCCGAGGAGCTGCGCTCGCAGACCTCCTCAGGGCCATAATCCGTAGCCCGAGAAACGTCGAATATCTCGGAGGAGACGTCCTCTGTACGTGACTCGTCCGGGTCGTCCAGGCTCTCAGTGTCCTCGGTGATGCTAGTGGCCACCTGGGCCGTGGTGACACTAGTGATCTGGAAGCAGCTCTTCTTCTTGGCCGGCATCTTGGACATGGTGAGGAAAGCTGGAGGGCAGAGAGGCTCGCCGGCTCCTCTGCAATCTTGCCGGAAACTAGAAGGGCAGAGTAGGGGCCCCCAAAGACAAAGTCCGAGTCCGCGCTGGGGTCTGAGGCCCGCCGCTGTTAAGAGTCACTCGCTGATCCGGACGCTGGCCGCTCTGTGAGACATCCTCCTCCCGGTTTCCTTCTGAGTCGATCTCTACGGCTCTGCCCCCGTCGCACTCGCGCGGCGGCTCCTCCTTCCTTTTCGCCTCCCGCAGCCGCGGCGCCTCAATTCAATCCCCTCAGCGGCGGCGCGAGCGCGATCCCAGGGGCGGGCCGCCTGCTTTCTCCTCCAGTCTCCGGGGCCGCCGTGGTCAGTCCAGCTCGGCGCTCGGCGCGGTCAGCAGGCCTTGGCTGGGGGTGGGAGTGGGAGGGCGCAGGGGAGGAGGCGGCAGCGGCGGCGGCGTGAGGGGCGGTGCTGCCCCGCTCGGGCTCCTCAGGCCAGTGCCGGCGTCAGCTCTGGGCTCTCGGACGCTGAGGGAAGAAGAGGAAGGAGTGGCGAATCTGGAGCCGGGGATTCCTGATTCAGCCAGGAGCGGCGGGCAGGGGCTGGCTGAAGGTCCGCGGGCGGGCGGCGGAGCTTCGGCGCGGGCGGGCGGCCCCCTCCCCGGCTTTAGCCGGAGCTCAGCCCCAGGGACATGTCGACTGTCTCTGGCGGAAACCCGCTCCGGGGGAGGGGAAGCCGGCTCGGTCCTCCCCTTACAGGGGGAGCCACCCCGCGGGCGGCGGCGGTCTCGGCCTCCCCTCGCGGCTCCTGAGAAGAGTGAGGGGCGGCGGCGGTGGTGGTGGCGGCGGCCGACTGATTGGCCGGCGAGCGGAGGCGCTCTGGCTGTCTGAGGTAGCGGTGGTAGCTTTTTCGGGTCCTCCTCGGTGCGCCCGGTTCGCAGAGCCTGGAGAAACTGAAATTCAAACTGCTGAAGCGGCGGCTGCAGCTCCCTCCCCTCGGCCAAGATGGGGCTGAAATGGCCGCGCCAGGGATGCTGGGAGGAGCAGCAGCCCCGCTGCCGCCGCCGCTGTCGACTAAAATGCCGCCGCTGCCGCAGCCACCGCCAGCGCCGCAGCCGCCGCCGTTCCGTGACGCACCGGCGTCGTGACGTCACCGCCCCGCCCCCTCCGGTTTCCTGCAGTTTCGCGTGGAGGCTTGAGGGGGAGGCGGTGGGAGGGACTAAAGGTTAAAAAAGGGGAGCGTGTTTTTTTTTTAATTTAAAAAATTTTAAATTTAAAATATACGCTGTAGGTCTTTTAGACTTGAAGAGCTGAAGACTTAAATTCCAAGCCTAGAGAAGCTTACAACCGCGCCAGTCGGTTTTGTTACGAGACGCTGGAAGACTGGATGGAGGTCATGTGTCTACTGTTCAGCAAAATCTTACAGAAACAAGGGCGATAGAAATGGGGGTTAGGGAGATTTAGTCAGGATAAAGAGGGAGACCAACGGAGGAAGCGAATCACTTAAAAAAGGTCTTCTGGAAATGAATGTTGACCACTGTAGTAAGAGGAGTGAAATGTTGAGAGAAACGGGGATGATTAACCAAGAATAGCAAGCCAGATTGAGTCAGAAAACTGATCTTTCAGCCAGAAATTCTGTCTCCAACAATGGCATCAGGAGATGGTTACTTGCCCAGGGTGAGGTCAGTTTAAAAAAAGATTAGGGGTTACCAACATAACCCTAATTTTCCCGAGTTTTCCTGTGATTTCGGCATCGGAGTTCATTTAAACTCTTAAGACTGTTTGTACTTTCAGCACGAAATCAGCTTATAGGCTCCATAAATGTAGAACCTACTGCGTTAAATGGTTATAGTTCTTTCTTTTGTTTATTCTAAAACTCTTAGTTGGAGCCAGAGTATTACATGGTTTGAACTGGGCCACGAACAACCAGAACAAGTCAGTTCAGAGAGCAGCTACGAAGTACTGGAGATTTTATCATCTTTTAGCTACTTTCTGGCGAAAGAAAGTGGTATGGCCATTCTCCTAAACAGTTTTAAAAAAAATGGGGAAGGTGGCTCTTGAACTTTGACACATTAATACATATCTAAGTAAAATGCAAGACATCTTGCGGGTGGGGGGGGGGGATCAAGATTTCATATCACAGCTTTAGCAGTCATTATCGTTATGACTTACATAAATCAGTTAATCATTATACTCAGTTCTCTAATCTTTGAAGAGTAGAAATACTTTTTATGCCTAAGGATATTTTGATAATGATCGTTTAGAGAAAAAGTTTAGGTCCTTAGTTGTAAATAGCATCCAGACACATGGCTTTTAACCTTAGTAAAAACCATGTCCTCCAAACCCAAGTGAAGGAGGTCAGGATGTGAAATAAGACCACATAATAACATCCCTGTTTCTTAAGAAGATTGGAGAGAATAAAGGAACAAAGTGTAATATATGCTGCTATTGTGGCAGAGGTAGCTAATGGAATGTTTCATTTCTAACTCTAATTTTGGTAATTGTTAGAGGTATTTTCCATTAATAAGTTAGATCAACTGGTTAAATCAAATATAAACTTACAAGAGCTCAATTTAACTTCAGATTGATTTACTGTATTAAATGGTGGTCAATTTTGGAAAAATAAATATCGGATGCCTGCTTGTCTCATTACATTATCTTATTACATAAACTTTTTGATTACTTGTTGTGATTATCTTTAATCACACAAAGGAAAAATCTAAAGTCATCTGTAAGATGATTTCTCCTTAAAGAACACATTAAGGATTTATTATGAAATGAAAGTAATAATTTAGAAGAGATCAGTAAGGGGCTATATTGTTGGTAAGAATGGGGTTAAAGATGTTAAAAGACATCTTAGCCTAAAATAAGATGTATAAAGTTAAAATGTTTTATTTATATGCTTAAGAATTTCTGTGTGAATAAAATAGTTCTTTTGAAAGTAACCTTTCCAAAAGTCTTAAAGGCTCTAGCTTCATTTATACATTTGCTGCTTAGAAATGTAGAGAATTTATTCCATAAAATTGCTATGAAGAAATGATAAAGATTCTGGTTGTTACAAATAGGTTCGAAAACATTTTATGGAGAAAAGAAAAACATAGAACTGTCATCAGACTACACAACTATGTAATTCATGGTTGGCCCACAAAGGATTAAAAGCCTCCACATAACTAATTAAAATGTTAGGAAACCAGATGTACCAGTCAGTCTATACGCTTGGGTGTGTGTGGAAAGTTGACAGTAAGTAACATGGTAGCCTAACTCACTGGAACGGGAGAGATCTCTGGAGTCCTTCAAACCTCGAGACCAGGGGTCTTAATGCAATTATCCTAGCTCCATGCTTACATCCAAAAGCCACATGTGGAAACTGTGGAAATCCTTGATTACTGCTCCAGAGCACCCAACTTGACTGTCCTACATCTGGTACTTCCCTCAAAGACTTACTTTAAAGCCATGTATGGAAGGTGTGTTTAGGAAGAACAATGCAGGGGGGAAAAAAACACAATTGCAACAACTTAGAAACTAAGGATGGTTTCCACCAATGACCAAGAAAACCAAAACCAAACCAAACAAACACCACAACTATTATAGCAAGATTTCATCTTTTCAGAGTATCATACTCCAAATTCTACTAGGTTATTATCTAACCATATCAGTACCAGATGGCAAATTATTTCATAGTCACAAGATCCTGGAATGTGAACTGTAGATACTCAAGAAAACCTTTTATATTTTTTCAACAAGTACATAATACATTTAAAATAGTAATAGTACATTATCTAAATACTCTGGGATAGAGAAAATAAAAACACATTTTTAGGAGAACTTAAGCAACTACTTAGCTAAGAGAAGTAGTCCTTTAGAGTTAATACTATTGGTCAGTGACATTTATTGAGCCCTCCATGTGTGCATTAAGAATTGCACAGCCTGTATCCTAGCCAACAACTTTTTCTGGGATTTAGAAATAGCTTATGTTTACTTTCTATATTTTTTTATCACTAAATTGTTAGAAAAATACAAAATGGAGGCCTAGTTTTCAGATTCCAAAAAGCATTTGCTGGAAATATCAGTTGTTTAAACAAGTAGCACTTGATTTATTACTATGATTTTCCTGGGGTTCCATTTCTGGAACCATATCTTACTAATAACCCCTTGCAGTGAGGCCATTGCATAATATCTGAAAAGTCAAAAACAAACAAAACAACAACAACAAAAACTGCAATGAAAGAAGACTAAGCCTAGTGGAATTCCATAAATACTTTTATGAAAGAAAACAATCTCATTGAAATGCACAATATCTTCATCATTTCAGAGCGAATGATATGTGTATAATTTTCACATTTAAGAGAAGTTCTTAAGTGTCCAACTCTTGGTTTTGGTTCAGTTCATGAACTCGTGGCTCGTGAGTTAGAGCCCTGAGGCCGGCTCTGCCCTCAGAGGGGAGTCTGCTTGAGGATTCTCTCCTTCTGCCCTTCCCCCAGCTCGCACGCACACACTTGCTCTCTTTCCCCGTCTCTCTCTGTCTCTCTGTCTCTCTTGCATGCTCTCTCAAATAAATAAATCTTTTTAAAAAAATAAATAGAATACAAGTCTTAAAAAAAAGTTACTAGGTATATGTGATTTTATGAAGAACCCATCTTCTCTCATAGATGAGCTAATTATTTAAAGACATTTAATGGGATATCCTTTAGTAAGGTGAATCATCACCATCTATTCTGCCTTTCTTGTATATGTGAATTTGGTGTAAGCACAGTGTAATTATGTATTGCTTCAAGTGGTAGTATACCTGTAATTTTAAGTTGTAACTTTAACACTCACAAAAGAGCATTGAAAGACATTGCCAATTTCTAGACTTCTAGGTTATAGTTCGTTCTGTAGGTTACTATTACTGGCTTATAAAGTTCAAAAGAAATGTGGTTGAGTGTAGAAACTTGTGTAAACTGGATTTAGACATGAAGGATGGTCTAAATGTTGACTGATAATCTGATGGTCATTCTGACTTAGCTGATTGGACTAATTTTAATTCATAGGAACCAATGGTTGAAAGGCACAAATATAATCTCGACTACTTTGTATTAGCAGTTATATTTTAATTCCAAAATAACTAGCTCTTTACTTATTGGAAACAAAACACTTTTAGCATTTAACTTTAGAATACTTGAAATCCTCCTTTGCAGGATTCATACTCATTAAAAGCTCAACCCGTGATCCCTGTTTGTACAAGGATTTGGGTGTTACTTAAACTGGTCATGTAACGAGCTGCTTCCCTGCAAATTAATTTTAACTCCTCTCTCCCATCTGTAATCTGGGATCTTTGGAGAAGGAGGCTAGTAAGA